GAATGCCGACACCTTGAAAACCCAAAGAGGCAACAACCCTTGTCAATAAAGGGGCCTCTTCTTTCCAGTCGGGTTCCTTAAAATTCTTTACCCTTTTTAGTAAGTCTACATATTTCTAAGCAACATTTAAAAGTTCTTTAAAAAAAAAAAAAAAAAAAGAAGGCCTTTGCTATATTTGGCTTAGAAAGCCCATCGTTTTTCATACCCGGGGGTTTTGCAGGCAGGATCATTACTGGAAACTCCAAGAACACTTATGGACAGTCTCCTTCACTGGCTGACCCGTGCGTCGTCCTAACACAATTTGTGATTTTATAATCCTCATAAATTGAAACTCATAACTGACCTTTTCCAAATAAATGTGTGCCACCACAGAGAGAGAGGAACGGTGAGAGATCAGAGGGTATTTTGTTCAGTAAGAAAGCAAAAGGGCTCAGAAATCGATTTAAGCTCATTAATAGGTGCCCGGAACCTCCCTGATTTCTCAGCCCCGGCCTCCCTGCCCCCAACACAGACTGAAGTACAGATGTGAGAAGATGAGTGTGTGTGTGAGAGCTGCTCAGGCAACAGAATCCCCCACCATACACACACACACACACACACACACACACACACACGAAAACAAAACAAAACAAAACAAAAACAAAAAAACTGTAAGCCTGAAATCCAAAATGGCCAAAGTGACTTCAAAGTTTGCAAGATGCTGCCCTGAACAGGCTGGCGGGCCACTGCACCTCTAAGTCAATAAAGCTGTAGCTTGTCTCCCTCTGCAGCGCTGGGCTCCCGGGGCTGACAGTGGCTGCACAAAACCCCTCCTGTGCTGAGCAGCGGAAACTCCTAATGAGATTAGTTGGTGTGTGTGCAGACATTACTTAGCAATGACTAAAGGGGCTCTCTCTTCCTGCGGCAGCCAGTGGAAAATTCAGGGAACTTTTTCCCCTGCAGCAGCAGAATCCCTTTAACCCTCTCTCCAGCCAACTCCAAAAACAACTCGGCCTCAGGCACAAATACATAAACCTGAGAAGGCACAAACCACAGTTTCTTTGTGAGCTCCTCCAGTGAGTCATTTTCAAGATGCTGTCTGCTGCCAGTTTCAAAGCGGAAGCGCATGGCAATTAGTCTTGCCGTTTCCAGACAAGCCAGAAACTCTCCCGACCACCCCCCCATTTTGATTCCCCCAAAAAGAAAAGTTACAGTAGCATTGCAGGCCAACATTGAGTTCCAAGCTACAGAGCTGGCGGCGCCAAGATCGTCTTTCTGCCCACTCTCTCGCCCAAGCCGTGCCCAATAGACTCCACCCGCACCGGCTTTTAAATGTCCGACGGGGCGTGCGCCTCGGGCGGTGACCTGGGCCGGGGTCACCTGCCAGCAAGAGTGGAAAAAAGAAAAGTTACAGTAGCATTGCAGGCCAACATTGAGTTCCAAGCTACAGAGCTGGCGGCGCCAAGATCGTCTTTCTGCCCACTCTCTCGCCCAAGCCGTGCCCAATAGACTCCACCCGCACCGGCTTTTAAATGTCCGACGGGGCGTGCGCCTCGGGCGGTGACCTGGGCCGGGGTCACCTGCCAGCAAGAGTGGACGCAGCCCTTAACCCCACATTTTAGCCCCTTATCTTCCACCTTCTGCATCCCATCTCCCTCCCTGGATCCGAGCACCGGTACCCTCTGCCCACCCGAGGGGAGCCTGATCGCAGCCCCAGCTGGGAGATTAGTGGTGGTCCAGCCTCCAGGCACGCAGCCGGCTCCCGCCACCTACGTCCTTTCCAGGGACCTGAAGTCTCGCCGTCCCCTCCCCGGTTGCACGCAACAGTGCCCTGGGCGAGCTCCCGGGGCTGCAAGCCCTGCGCCGGGTCCTCCGGGATCGCAGCGCAGCCCGGGGCTGGGAGCCGCCCGCGCAAGGTCCCCGCAGTCCCTGGCCCGGACACGAGCTCTGGCGGTGGCGGCGGCGCAGGAGCATCCTGGCTGCGTCCCCTCCCCGCAACCGGCCCTCCCTCGTGCACGCCCCCCACTCCACCCACCGCACCCCAGCCCCGCCCCGCAGCCCACCTCGCGGGACCGACCCGCCCCACCCCCACCGAGCCCCGAAAAGAAAGAAAGAAAGAAAACCCAGCCCCGACGCAACTTTGCAAGTGTCTGAGCAACAGGCAGAAGCCCTGTTACCTACCCAGATGTGGGGGAGCTCTCAAGATCCTTCTTCGGGGCAATTTCTAGGAGGACCCGGGCGAAAGCCCCCGACTTTCCATGCTGACAGGCGTCTGCAGACGGTCTGTTGCTCTTGTAATGAGATCCTGATTTTTCCCCCTTTTTTTCTTTCTCTCGCTCCTCTTTTCCCCCCCTCTGGTGTGTGTGAGAGCAGGAAGTTGGAGCAGTCAGGCCGAGCCGGCT